GCCATGACCGGTCACGCGCCCCGTCGCCGAGCCTGTCCCTGTTTCTGGGCCGCTCTGCCTGCAGCGCTGGGGGCCGGGGGCCGGTCGCCGCTGTGCGGCCCTGGGCAGTGGTGGCGTTCCTGGGAGAGCTGCGGCCCCCAGGTGGGGTTAAGGGCAGCTACGTCCAGGTGTGTGCCCGCACCCCGTGACACCCCCTTTGGGAGGGCCAGGCTGAGGGCCAGGCGGCTCTGGCCGGCCTGTCAGCGCCGGAGGCCCGCGCCGCGGGGTGAGTTCGCAGCAGCCCTGTCCCCTCAGGACTCGGACACCCCGCCCTCCAGCACACCCAGTGTGTACCAGTTCAGTCTCCAGGCCCCGGCGCCCCTGCTGGCCAGCCTGCCGGCTGCCCTGCCCATGTCCAGCGGCAAAGCTCAGTCCAGCGCATCCAGGACGCTGGTCGTGACGACGAACACGCAGGTAGGTACCGGCCGGCCGTGTCCGAGGAGCCAGCAGCCAGGCTCGGAGCCCGATGTCCGCGAGCTGGGAGACTCTTGTTTTCAGGGCCGGGCATCGCTCCTGTCGCTCTGCAGCCGGTTGTCCTGCTGCCCCAGGGGCCAGGCTCCTTGGCTCTTGAGTGCTGGTGGCCTTGCCGGGCAGGCTGGCTGTGGGGGCCTGGGCGCTGCCCTGGCCTCTGCGCGGGGCTGCCGTGCCAGTGTGGAGCGCCAGGCCGGTGGCTCTGGCAGCAGCAGCGGGCTTCCGTGCACTCACTGATTTAGTTTTTTAAGTTTAGCCAATTTAGAGCTTAAAACCACTCCAAGAGACGCTGGCGGGTGTCTGTCAGTGAAGATGCCTGTGGCCGAAGCCCATTACATTACCCAGCCTTTAGATGTAGATGACATCGAGCCCGTCAGGCTCCACGTGCGGGCATCATCTGACCACGTCTCTGACCGCTGCTCTCTGGGCTTGTCCCTGGGATCTTGGGCCTGGGGGAGCCAGTGCAAGGCGGGCTCGCTGCCGACCGCGGCCTGCTGGCCCCCGTGGGTGCGGGCAGTGGCCCTGGTCTCCCTGGACAGCGGCGGGAGGCCCGGTGTGGCTATGCTGCGGGAGGGCGGCAGCAGGGGGACGAGGCACTGTCCGCACGTGCTCCTGTACCTCCTGTGGCCTCTCTGGGCTGGGGTGAGGGCGCCCCGGGAGGAAGAGGGGGGCTAGCACAGCAGGAGGCTGTCGGAGCCCCTGGGTGTGCCTCCTGCGTGGGGAGCGGTCCGAGCAGGCCCAGCTCCAGACTGAGACCCCCGCCCGGAGGCCAGCGGCTGCTGTCCACTCTGCCCCCCCACGGGCCTGGCAGCGCCTGTCCCGCACCAGGGCCCTTGGCACAGAAGTGCGCACTCTGGGGGCTGCCGCACCTGTGCCGGGCCATGGCCCCTGCCGGCGCCCGGCCTGCCGCCCTCCGAGGTGTGTGGGTGGGGCTGCCCGAGGAGGGCGCCCTCAGAACTGAGCTCCCTGGGGGCGTCATCCGGCTTCTCCCCAGCTGGGTGCGGGTCCCTCGCAGAGCGCAGCTCGCTGTGGTGCCAGGTGTTGCGGCGTCACACCGGCACAGATGCCCGAGAATGGACACGGCGGCCGGGTCTCCTGCCGGTGTGGTGCTGACCGGGCTCTGGGCCTTCCGCTCCTAGGCCAGGTTCACCATCGCGGCCCCGGCCCTCGGGGTGGCCCCCGTCCCCTGCCGGCCAGTGAGCGTTGAAGGGACGCCCGCCTTGAAGGCCGTCCACCACATGTCTTCCCCGGCCATCGCGGCCACTTCTCCCAACCCGCTCTCCAGCCCTCACCTGTACCACAAGGTATGTGCCCGGCCGCCCGCCTGGTCAGAGCCGCCGTGGCCCCAGGGTTTCCCGGCCGCCGCGCCGCCCTCTGCAGAGCGCCAGAGCTGCCTCCCGGGAGTCTGCCTCCTGGCACCCACCGGCTGCACCATTGTGGCCGGCAGCCCGAACGCTGAGCACAGTGGGCGTCGCACGGTCGGCGCAGCGCGGCTGCCCGGTCTCCGGGCCGCGGCGGTCAGATGGCACCGACGCGTGGGATGGGCAGTGAGGACGCCGGCCCTCGTCCGCTAACTCGCGGGCAGAAACTCAGTTTTCGGGCGCGACCGGGAAGCCCTGGTCTCCCTGCGCGGCTGTGCCAGTCGGTGCCGGGCGGGGGCCTCGCTCTGCTGCCCTCTGCTGTGCCACCCCGGCCGG